TAAAAATTTGTGAAGACATTCTTCTTAGTATATGATCATTCTCAGCCAAAACTCACGCCCATTGGCCATGTGCATTTCTCGTACTGCTAATCAAACACTTGGCTGCTAATTCATCTTTGAGCATAGTTCGGTCTCCTCATGAGAATCTTATGTTGTAATTTTCTTCCTAGCACCTATCTGGGGAGTGCCCAACCCACTAGACATGCCTAGGCCGCCCAGAACACATGGCAATGCCACGATCACGCGGTGACCACGCGGCGGGTATGCGAGCTTATGCGCTCTAGAGTTGGGGCCCTCGGCCACCGTCCAAACCTCGATGTCTCGCCATAAAACCATGTATTTCTGTTTAAATAGATACTTACTCACCTAGAAATGATTTTTGGAAAAAATAAAGACCAAACTATGAGGCAGCTGCAGTTCAAATTTGACCCGCTTCCAGCTAAATCGGCGGGAATTTGTCTTTTTCACCAGAGGTGGATCAAAATTTTTAACACCCAACCATTTTGTCAATTGTGCATTAAATATGGCCTAGTATTTTATAAAATTGATTAGGTCCAATTTTGCAATAAATATATGGTAGGTCCTTCACAAAAAACTCATTTCGGGCACTCGGAAAATAGAAAATGTATTTTCCGTGAAAAGAAAATGAAAAATCCCTTAGGCAACATTGTTTGGAATTTCAAGATGCACCCTTGTGCACAATATGATATCATTTGAACAAACCATGCCATGAATGTGGCCATAAGATTGATCGTTTGGCTTGAAAGCCGTGAATCTTCACGCATGATAGCTCATTTCTGAGAACAATTTTTTAAAAATAATTTCCGTATTACAAGTTTATTATTTTTCCTTGAAACTTTGTCACATATAATGACACCATGCGAAGGTTTTCCAATTATTTGATTTTTTTTAATTTTTTATGCCCGTTTCAAAATGCGGTCAAAACGGTGGGCTTGACCATTCCTAGCTAGTGGTTGAATCTTGGAATTTTTTGGTGTTTCTTTGATTAAATAGATACTTATGTACCTAGAAATGATTTTTGGAAAAAATAAAGACCAAACTACGAGGTAGCTATAGTTCAAAGTTGACCCGCTTCCAACTGAATCGGCGGAAATTTGTCTTTTTCACGAGAGGTGGATCAAAAAATTTTACACCCAACTATTTGGTCAATTGTGCATTAAATATGTCCTAGTATTTTAGAAAATTGACTTGGTACAATTTTGCAACAAATATATGGTAGGTCCTTCACAAAAAAACCTCTTTTCAGGCACTCGAAAAATGGAAAATGAATTTTTCATCCAAAGAAAATGAAAACCTCCTTAAGAAACATTGTTTGTCATTCCAATATTCACCCTTTTGCACAATATGAGCTCATTTGAACAAACTATGCCATGAATGTGGCCATAAGATTGAGCATTTGGGTTGAAAGTCATTCATCTTCACACTTGATAGCTCGTTTCTGAGAACACTTTTTTAAAATAATCGTCGTATTACAAGTTTATAATTTTTCCTGGTAACTTGGTCACATATAATGACGCAATATGAAGGTTTTACAATTTTTTGATTTTTTTTGAATTTTTTATCCCCGTTTCAAAATGCGATCAAAACGGCGAGAATGTCCGTTCCTAGCTAGTGGTTGAATCTTGGAATTTTTTTGGTGTTTCCCTGATTAAATAGATACTTGTGTACCTATAAATGATTTTTAGAAAAAATAAAAAGCAAACTACGAGGTAGCTACAGTTCAAATTTGACCCGCTTCCAACTAAATCAGCGGAAATTTTTCTTTTTCACCAGAGGTGGATCAAAACTTCTGACGCCCAACAATTTGGTAAATTGTGGTTTAAATATGTCCTAGTATTTTAGAAAATTGATTTGGTACAATTTTACAACAATTATTTGGTAGACCCTTCACAAAAAAACTCATTTTGGGCACTCGAATAATGATTTAAAATAGCTACAAAGATAAAAAATTGCATGCAAACTGGCTATCATCCATAAAATATGGTCTAAATTGATAGAAAATTTTAGTTGTGCCATTTTGCAAAATATTTTTGATAACTGCTTCACAAAACCCTCCTAGTTTTAGTACTTAGAAACTATTCTAAATCACATTTTTTCTAAACCAATCAGAGCTCTTCACACGGATCACCCCCCTTAGCCGATCTGGACCGTCCACATCCGACGGATCCAACGTCTCTCTGATCCCCTCTCAACCCAACCCAACCCAAACCCTAGAAGCCCCCCTCTCCTCGCTCGATCCAGATCTCGCTCCCCTCGTCTCCCACATCGCCTCCGCCACCCACCCCGATCCCATCCCTCCCCTCGTCTCCCTCCCAAACCTTGCCGCTGGCAGCCTCTCCCCCTCCTATCCGCTTCCCTCCCACCTCGTCCCCATCTCTCTCCCGCAGGACGTTGGCAGATTAGGAGCAAAAACAAAATCCCCCAAGCCCAACCCACTTCCTCTGCCCTCTTCCTCGATCCCGTGTCCGCCGCCGCCCCTCATCTGCACCGGCACCGTGCTTCCCCGTCGGTGACCTCGCTGCCCTTCTCCCGCACCGCTGCCGCCCCCACCCTCTCGCCCTTCCTCATCTTCTGTCTCTTCGCTTGGCCGTTGCGCGACTGTCTCTTCCCCATCTTCTCCCGCTTCCCCCCACCCAACCAACACGTTGACACGCAGACACGCTTCACCACGCGTCGGAGCGGCATCGGCGAGCCATGAAGGGCGGCGGAGCCATCTGGAGCGGTGGTGGGGGCGGCGGCGGGCTGATGCGGATGCGACTGCGGCTCCCCGTGGTGCTCCTCTCCTGCTGCCTCTTCTTCCTCACCGGCTTCCTCAGCTCCCTCCTCTTCACCTAGGTAAATAACACGGCCCGGCCCAGCTCGTAGATTCGTTTCGTCGTGCGCACGCGCGGGCCTCTGATCTGGGGTGGCTCTGGCGGTTGTTCCGTGGCAGGATCCGCAGGGGGAGGAGGACGTGGAGCGGCCACTGCGGAGGGAGCGGCTCATGGAGGCGGTCTAGCCGGAGATGGCATACGGGGAGTCCGGCGAGCCCGCGCCCTCCTTGATCCCTTACTAGGTCACGCCTCGTCCCGATTCCCTTCGTCGCATTGCCATTTTGTTCTTCGGGGATTTCGTTTAGGCTTTGCGGTGTCAGTGACCACTGATTAGCATTGGGGACAATGGAAGATGGCGTTCGTGAAATTTTTGGTGAGGATGCATGCTGCATTCGTTGGTGACGTGCAAGTTGCGAGAGTGGTATGTTCTATTCTCCTCCCTCCCTCCCACAGTCCCACCCACCCCGTGGCATGTTCTGTTCTGTTCTTTTCTTTTCTTGGCCTGATGATTTTTACTGATGGAGTTGTTTGTGAGTAGTAAATGTCAGTGAATTACAATGTTCGACCTAGTACAGAAAAAAAAACTTTGTAACATACAGTACATATTCGAATTGCTAAACTCTACTGTTTAGCATGGCTGGATGGCAGGGGTCACCACTCACCAGGATAGATCCACAACATTGCATTGTTCTTATTACTGCAACTAGCAGATGAATAATGTGGTTGTTACACGGATGATGCTCCTGTGTTGTTCAGTACTGTATAAGATACCTATGCAGTAACAAAAACAAAGTTTGAACAAGCATGTGCAAATTTGTGTGGCTTTGAATAAGATATCTGTTTCTGACAGCCTTCTCCGATTATGATTTGTGGCTTATTGTCAGAATGATGTTGCTGAAAGAAAGTTCAGCAAGTTCTGTGGCTAGCAGTTATATTTTTCAATTTTTATTACAGCTAAGAGCGTAGCTTGGGTCCTTTTCGGGATAAGAATTGGGAGGCTCCGATGTTATCACCATCCCAGTTTTCGTTCTTCAAATATGTAGAATTATTCTTTGTTTGTTGGATGCTCGAGAGTAGGGGATATGGTTTTCTGGGAGAGACATCTTTACTAAATTATGTGCTAAAAATGTTTTCTTATGTGTGTTTCAGTACGAACACGGATCAGTTGCTGCTCTAAACCCAACAATTCGGAGGAGGAATGCATGAGAAGCGAGTCCCCCAGCGATGCCAAGGTTGGCCGTGTATTATTACTGTTCTTTGAGCTGTCTCTGTTTCAACCATACAATCCGTCTAGCATAAGGTGGATAAGGCAAATACTGGAGACACTGTCGTACATATTGGGCATGGTAGTAGACTGTCAGAACCTTACGGTCTTGCAAAATGTTCAGAATCAATATTCTGCTCCAGTCAGGTTCTATGTATATCCTCTTTTTTTCATGGGATATGCATATCCTATAAGTCATGGTTTATCTCAGAAAAGAGGATTTCAAATTAGAAAGTTCTTCAAATTGCAAGTAAATGATCCTTAAGAAATGTTTATGGCAGATGTCAACTGCCAGTCTGCAGAAGACAGAAGTGATGTACATATGATCCCCAAATGATGAACAGTACCGTTCTGCAAACCAAAGGGGGCATATGAACAATTTCGGGTTTTTTTTTGTGTTGGGGCAAATGGATTATGCTGGACTGACTAAGCTTGAGTCCAAATTTCCTTCATTGTTAATTCAATTAGCCATTGTTTGAGCAAATCATTTCTGCATGCATGTGTACTGGGGTTAGTACTATCTACTATGGTGAATGCCATGCAAACAATTAAGTTGCTTCATTTGATTGCCTACTACATCTGCACTTAAATACTCATAATGCTACTGTCCAGATCTTGTTCAATTGGACTGACTACATATCTCTTGTTAAAATTGTGGTCTTGATCTTTTGTTTAAACCTGAGACATCATGCATAAGTAGCTCTTCCTTTAGAGTCTAAACCTGAGACCTCTTTTGTTTTATATTCAGTTCTATGACTAATGGTCACAATGCTGTTTTGCTATGCTTGATAAACCTGATACCTCTTTCTATTCTTCTTCTTTAGGTCACACTGTTGTTTTGTTGTGGTTGATAAACCTGAGACTTCTTTCTATTCTTCAAGGCGGTTTGGTTTAGGCCAGCCATGGAGCAGAAAGAACGGACATTGCTACTTAAGCAAGAGGGAAGGTAATGATCCCAATGATACTCTTTTCATGTTGTTAAAGGGAATATGTGTCCAGTCAATGCATGCTCTGGATGCTAGCTAATCCTACTGGGCAATATAGCTAATACTTTTCTTATTCTCGCAGACCCGACGAGGCCATTATGCTTACCTTGCTCGAGCGCATCAACCCCGACCATGGCACCACATTCACAGTCTTGAGGTAGCCGTGCTGCAACTACATCAACGCTATCTTCTCTGACTAGATAAGGCTTCGGTCTATCCCATTATTTTCTTTTCTTCTTTGGTCGATGGGCCATGATGCCATTGTGTTGATTCCCTATGTGATGCAGAAGCTATGGTGTTTTGTTTTAAGTCTGTTGTAAATTGTAATTGATAATGATTTGTGTAAAATTAGTGTAGAACATATGTCTTGTTATCTTAAATCGTTCGTGTCGTGCTCAATGAACCATCAAAGATTAAATCGTTTTCTGCATTCAACATCTAGAACCATTCTAGGAGTTTTGGTATACATGCAACAACTATGCCTTCTTGTATTCTGAACAACCATTTCTGGAAGTTTTGGTATTCATGCAACAGCTAGTCCTTGTGGTTATTACGGTTACATGTTACATGTAGAGATGGTTCATGATTTAGTCCCTAGCTGCTTTCTATATTTGTTTTTATTTTGTTTCTAACTCTTTTGGTTAATTGTTAGATGCCTTTGTTCAGCCTGTACGGACATTTCCAGAAATGGTGTTTCCTCTCATGTAAAGAGCTCCAGCCTGAAAGTGAAGAAGTCTGGAGTGTATATGTAGTAGGTTTATATGTTGTGATGGTATCACATGTAATGATGAAATGAATTATGTAAAGATTGTGCTATTAGCCAAAATTGGCATGCGGTTTGATAATTCTCATTTGTTTGTTGTTTTGACTGAAATAATTGTGTGGAAATTGAAACATTAGCTGTCTTTAATTAGAACCCGACAAGTGGGACCTAATAGTATTTGGCATATAAAAAGGCAATTTTCCAAATAATATTTACAGGAAAAAAACTAAAAACTAAGGAAATGGACTGTAAAAAGGCCGAGGTCCAATTGAGAAATAGATGTGAACAAAAAAAGAAATGGTCTAAAAAAGGATCACGACCCTGGAAATAAAAAGGCTGCAATAATGGGCTTGGCCCATGAAGCCGATCAAAAATTGACGGAAAAAAAATATAAAAAGGCCGAATTGTTGGGCCTGGCCTATGTAAAACACCCAATCGGACCGGGCTGAATCTTATCAACGACCTTCTCAATTGGTCGCAATTTTGCCACGCCAGATTGCCACGTCGGATGCCTACATGGTCTGGGGAGGCTGCTAGTGACCAAAGCAAAACAATAGGCATATTTTGGTCGTAAACGTCTACGACCTTCTCACAGAAAAGGTCGTTAATTTTAGTTTATGACCGCCATCTTTTGACCTTCTGTTTTTGGTCACAAAAAGGTCGCAAATGAAAAACAATGACCGTTCAGTGACCAATAGTCAAGGTCACAAGTTGACATATTTCTTGTAGTGAACTTGGATTTTATCGGGGATGGATGAAGAATTCGTACCTAGTTCTTCATGAGAAAACCCTATGCAATCGCCGAGAGGGGGTTGTCTCTAAACAAGCATACGAGGGAGAAGGGGATTCATGCCTAGTGAAATGTTGCTGCTTCGTCCGTCCAGCTTACTGCCAAAGTTGGAAAGGTGGTTTTTTTTTGTGATTTGACGGCACATTGCGCATTACTGCGGCGCTACGACCGGGGTGAGTCTACCTTCCAGTTGTGCACTCTAATTTGGTGCATGGCACATGGGCCCCATTGCTGGATGCCCCACATATCAGCGAAAGGAAGTAGAAAGGCTGGAGTAACTAGTTACACATAAATATATTTTTGACAAAGAGATACTCCCTCTGTAAAGAAATATAAAAATATTTCATATCACAACTTTATACATAAGAAAAATTAAGGGGAATATATATATATATATATATATATATATCAAAATATGGGGGTTCAACTGAGAATATAATACTCAGACAGGCTCATGGTTTTTGACTTTGGGCCACAGGCCGGTGGGCCTGCATGTTTTGGCGCCCATGTGTTCTAACTCGGTGCATTTCATATTGCAAGTGATCGGTACGACACTCATTTTAGATGTTGTCATAAGGCGAATACAGAAAATTGAATAAAGCACGACAGCTGTCAGAATGAAATCGAACAATAGTTCCTAACTAACAATCAGAGTTGCAATTCTTTCATGATATCCTACGTGATAAATAATACTGTCGTACTACTTATACACACATGACACTTGTTTCACCATGCCATATTATTACATCAAAATCTCTCGGAGGATAGATCAGTTCGGCAATTGCATGCTACTACTAAAGAATTTCAAAGTTGATTTGGACCAGCTCTCCTTGCTGAGAAAGTTCGATTTTGACATTATCCCCTATAGCAAGATTTCATTTAGATTTGAACCTTTACCATCCTTTAGCATCAATCATCATGTGACCATCCTTTGTACTTACTGTATATTGAGTAGGTTCATTCACACCAAGGCTACGCATGGTAAGAGAAACTTGGCCAAGGTCATGCAGATTGTTGAATGACTCCCTCGTTGCTCTAGGAATTCTTTGTTTGCAAACAAGAAGACATACACAAAAAGTTACATCAACATAGTGAATCATGTGAAACAACATGGAAAGAAAAAAGAACGAAGCACTTGGGTGGCCAATGCTGACCAAGAAGGAGGAAATGTCGGCTTTTGTAAGGACTTTGGTATATGCAGTGTGAACTGTAGCCCGGTGATACGTCTCCAACGTATCTATAATTGTTGATTGTTCCATGCTATTATATTATCTGCTTTGGATGTTTAATAGGCATTAACATGCACTTTTATATTATTTTCGGGACTAACCTATTAACCGGAGGCCCAGTCCCAGTTTCTATTTTTTTCTTATTTCAGCGTTTCACAGAAAAGGAATACAAACGGAACGAAACCTTCGCGAGGATCTTTCTTGGAACAAATGCAACCCAGGAGACTTGGAGTACAAGTCTGGAAGTCCACGAAGCTTCCATGAGGCAGGGGGCGCGCCCCCACCCTCGTGGGCCCCATGGAGCTCCACCGACGTACTTCTTTCGCGTATATATACTCTTATACCCTAAAACATCCAGGAGAGCCACGAAACCACTCTTCCATGCCGCAACCTTCTGTACCCGTGAGATCCCATTTGGGGGCTTTTTCCGGCAATCTGTAGGAGGGGGAATTGATCACAGAGGGCTTCTACATCAACACCATAGCCTCTTCGATGATGTGTGAGTAGTTTACCATAGACCTTTGGGCCCATAGTTATTAGCTAGATGGGTTCTTCTCTCTCTTTGATCTTCAATACAAAGTTCTCCTTGATGTTCTTGGAGATCTATTCGATGTAATATTCTTTTGCGGTGTGTTTGCCGAGATCTGATGAATTGTGGATTTATGATCAAGTTTATCTATGAACAATATTTGGTTCTTCTCTGAATCCTTATACGCATAATTTGATATCTTTGAAAGTCTCTTGGAATTATCGATCCAGTTTGGCCTACTAGATTGATCCTTCTTGCAATGGGAGAACTGCTTAGCTTTGGGTTCAATCTTGCGGTGTCCTTTCCCAGTGACAGTAGGGGCAGCAAGGCACATATTGTATTGTTTCCATCGAGGATAAAAAGATGGGGTTTATATCATATTGCTTGAGTTTATCCCTCTACATTATGTCATCTTGCCTAAAGCATTACTCTGTTCTTATGAACTTAATACTCTAGATGCATGCTGGATAGCGGACGATGTGTGGAGTAAATGTAGTAGATGCAGAATCGTTTCGTTCTACTTAACACGGACGTGATGCATATATTTCATAATCATGCCTAGATATTCTCATAACTATGCACTTTTCTATCAATTGCTCGGCAGTAATTTGTTCACCCGCCGTAATACTTTCTATCATGAGAAAAGCCACTAGTGAAACCTATGGACCCTGAGTCTATTTTATATCATATAAGTTTCCAATCTACAATTCTAGTTTACTATTTATTTTATTTTGCAATCTATACAACAAAAGTACCAAAAATATTTATCTTATTATCTTTATCAGATCTCACGTTCGTAAGTGACCGTGAAGGGATTGGCAACCCCTTTATCGCGTTGGTTGCAAGGTTCTTGATTGTTTATGCAGGTACTAGGAGACTTGCGTGTAGTCTCCTACTAGATTGATACCTTGGTTCTCAAAAACCAAGGGAAATACTAATGCTACTTTGTTGCATCAACCTTTCCTCTAAAAGGGAAAACCAAAGCATGCTCAAGAGGTAGCAAGAAGGATTTCTGGCGCCGTCGCCAGGGAGATCTACGCTCAAGTAAAGACATACCAAGTACCCATAACAAACTGTTTTCCCTCGCATTACATTATTTGCCATTTTCCTCTTGTTTTCCTCTCCCCCACTTCACCTTTGTCGTTTTATTCGCCCTCTTCCGTTTGTCCTTCTATTTGCTCGTGTTACCATGTGCCTTCTATTAGCTTGCATATTCGCTTGCTAAATATCTATTGTTATAGATCCTCATCCTCTTGCTAATCTTTTTAAAAGATCCAATTATGATGAACCAATTGCTAGTGAGTTGAGTGCACTAGATTATCTTTAGGAGGTTTTGCTTGAAATTCGTGAATCTGAAAATTGTGATGAAGTACTTTACGATAGATCTTTGAATAAAAAGCATGATTGCAATGATGTTATTATAAATTCTATTGATGTCAATTGTGTTAATGATATGCAAAACCTCAAGCTTGGGGATGCTAGTTTTGCTATGTCCACTACTTGTTGCAATGATCATGATTGGGGTTATTCTTCTTTTGATCTTGAAAATTTATTTAAGCTCCATGATGAATATGAGATTGATAATAGTGTTTGCAATATTATTGAAAGTGGGTTTGGAAGAGTGTCAACTTTAGATCCCACATATTTGGAGAATGTTCAATCTTATGCAATTTTTGATAAAAGTGGGTTCGGAGAGGTCATGACTTTAGTTAATGTTAATCCCACTATTTTGGAAGAGTGTCAACTTCGCATGCATGTGGATCATGTTGAGAATTTGTTATGTGATAGCTATTTTGTTGAATTTTATTATGATCCCACATGTAATTATTATGATAGAGGAAAATATGGTTGTAGAAATTTTCATGTTGTTAAATTTCCTCTCGTTATGTTGAGATTGTCAATGTTTTATTCCTCCCCTTTGCACATGCTAGATATTTCTTATCTTGACAATTTGTTTCCATATAAAATTCCTATGCATAGGAAGTGTTTTATACTTAAATGTGTTTGTCACATGTTTCATGATGCTCTATTTGTGTCTCAATTATTATCTTCCGTGTGAGCATCTTTGAAATATTATGCCTAGCTAGGGGCGTTAAACGATAGCGCTTGTTGGGAGGCAACCCAATTTTATTTTTGTTCCTTGCTTTTTGTTCCTGTTTAGTAATAAATAAATAATCTATCCTCTATTATGATTGTGTTTTTTATGTTTCAATTAGTGTTTGTGCCAAGTAAAGCCTTTAGGATCTTCTTGGGTGATTGTTGTTTGATCTTGCTGATAAAAACAGAAAGTATGTGCTCACGAGAATAATTTTCATTTTTTTACCAAAGAGAGATAAAATACAAATTCCAACTGCAGTATATCAATATAAAAATTATTTCGGTCTTCCTAATTTTTCAGAATTGTTGGAGTTACAGAAGTATTCGATACCTCGAGATTGCTA